CACAGGAGTCCGATAATTCGTTTCAGGGACCCAGATCAACGCAAATCGTGGGCCTTGGCCTTCCTCCTGCTTGAGAATAGGCCCGCAGGGCTCAGGCGGACAGGGAGCCAACTGTTCGGTAATGGTGGTCTCTGGCCGACATAGGCTCCCGCACTTGTCTCAAGGACCCTTATTCGGTGCCAAAGGCCATTGATATTTTAGGCGACGGCCATACGGGCTGGAATTCTTTACGTGACCTACAGCCAGCCCTCCGAATCCTGGTCCTCTCCAATCGGAGCTTGACTCGTCGGCCCCGAGGAGGAGAAGCGCCCTCTGTCCCCACCCTGCCTGCGCCACTGGCACAGCATAGTGTGCAGAGCAGAAAGTAGGACATACAGTGGGAAGGATAGGGGCACCAGGGGGCGGGAGGGGGGGGGGGGGGGGGGAGCGAGCAGATTGAGACCCAAGAGCGGCTACTCGCGAGGGCACAGCTTTCTGAGTGCCGATTTCGTCAGTTGAAACCAATTCAGCGGAGGAGGAATGCAATGCATCCGAAAATATCTCAGTGCAATGGGGCGCCTGGGAGACGCAGCGCATGGGCCAATCCAGTCGCATGTCGGAACGGCTTGAAACTGAAACACATCGGTCTATAGGGGTAACATTCATTCCCTGGATTCAGGGAACTTGAAAGACATGGATGATTTTGACTGAGCGTAAATCTAAGCTGAGTGCGATTGCAGCAGTTACGTATGATGTTCCACCAACAAATTTGCACAATCTTGTACAACCATGCTTCTCGGCGGAAAGTCGCTTGCGCCGTCTCAGCTTTGCTGTGCTTGACACTTGTCACACAAAAGCAGCTGACTTCGCATTTCGCACATTTTCACACCAGAAAATCACAGCACATTGATTTAACAAGGTTGTCCGCACCGCCCACGCCGTGTGTAACTTATTTCGTCCGCCCGACGGTCGGCCTGGGGCTGCCGGTATCTTGTGTCGGCCCTCCCGAGAGCAGTGGCCCAGCTTCATCTGTTATTCATATGCAGTGGCACTAGTAGCGGTGTGTTAAGTAGTTACCCAAGGATGTGCTCGAGAGGTCGGCAACGTTTCTCTCGGAAAATGAATGCGGTACCAGTGGGGAACGGATTCTTGGAGAGACCGCTGGCGTGTGTAGTGGGCACGTACGGTCTGTTCGGAACGCCTCAGGTCTCTCTCTCTCTCTCTCTCTCTCTCCTCTCTCTCGTCTTCATCCTCGTCATCTCCTCTGCTCGCTCTCACGGGACTTCTCTCTCTCTCTCTCTCTCTCTCTCTCTCTCTCTCTCTCTCTCTCTCCCTCTTTCTCTCCCCCTCGCCCACTCTCTTTCTCCCGCTCGCTCGTGTGCCTCTTAGTCTCTATTTCTGGTACTCTATCTACTCGCTGGTATCTTTCCGATCTTCGGCATTCTCCACCCTTCATTACTCTCCAGACTTTTTTACATTATGTTGTGGGTATCTATGTCACGGATTATCGCGAATCATTCCATGTTATTCACCGTTCTTTACTCATATACCTCCAGTAATTGCATTTTGTCTTTATCCCGTAGGGTCCATAACGGACTTATGCGTGGGGTATCCATTGCAGGAGAAAATGATAAAACCGAAAGAAAATCTGTCGGGAGTGATTCATTTCGATTCATGTGAAAAGCCTAGTCATGAATGTGGAAGAAAATGTTTTAGTTACTTATTCAATACCTTAAATATATTATTTTGAAACACTGGAATAGCAGCCGCGGTAGAGAGGCGAGAGAATGACACTACGACCTTACTACAGTTGGGATAAGAACGCGTGGCCTCGAAAATAAATCAGCCTGATGCAAATCATGCCAGTTGAAAAAGATGCCATATCACACCTATGCGAAGAAGGTCTACCCTTGTGAAAATTATGAGCATTCGAGTGATTTTTATTCCCAGTAACCACACAAGCTGATTCAGTAACAAACGGGGGTGTCCATTTTTGTAAATTATTGGGGACCGAGACAAAGACCCGACAACCTACCCCTCTCCCATCCATTTTTCTCACCGGATTTAGCCCACTTTATTTTGATTAAAGCAATATGTGCTTTTGATCTTTGTTGAAAAAAGTATTTGATTTAAGCAGCATAAAAGCCAAGCCATGCAGGGTTGGATCTAGGGAGCAGGCACTGGACGCACGCGTCTCTCCTGATCGGCACGTGAAGGCGCCCCTTTAGAGGCCACCTTAGCGCGCGGATGGCGCCCTTCTGTGGCGGTCATGGGAGGCGGCATGCATTTTGGTTGTTGGGGACGGGGAGGGATAGCCTTGAAGGACTTAAGTCGTCATCACATTCCAGAGCTTTTCACTTAAACCTCACAAACCATGGCGTGTCTTACGGCACTAGGTATGCTAAGTTTATTGCATCGTTTATCCGCTCAGCTGCTATGATTTGTATCCTGTGGTGAGAGCAGCCACGACTTCTTATGATGAGAGTGGTACGATACCCCACTACGCAGAAAGATCACAGAAAATAGCCTTTGGGTTATGATCATCTTTTACCCACGTTTTTTGTGTATTATTCCAGCCGAAACCATTGGAAGGCGGCAGGCCAACATTTGGAGCGCGGGGGGGGGGAAGAGGCCTAACTCGGCATTGTGGGGCCAGGGCCACAACAAAAGAATACAAATCGACACCCGTGGTAACAAAGCCATGAAATATGAATTCTTGTTATTGTTAGTGCACTCATGCTATACATTCGAAACACGGTTAAAGCGGTGCCCTGTCTGAGGAAACAATGCCGTTTGAACACACCTAAGCCAACGCTGAGCGAGCAACCAGCCCGCGTACAGCTGCTAACATTCGCCCTACCGTTTTCAGCACATTGAGAAGCAACGTCACAAGGGTAGTATTAACCTATGTGTCTTTGCTTTACGCCAGCGTTTGGCCATAACCCCGAGTTACAGCAAAGAACGTTGACTCCACACATCTGCCCTGTATGCGACACCGTGTCCATGCTCCAAACAACCACACGGAAATCGACTTATTTAGCATCGCAGTCCGAGCGGCGGTGAGTGCGGCACTGATACGGAGACACCAACGAGTCACTGGAAGGCATAGATGCATGGAGACGGAGAGGGATTAAAGCCGTTAAAACAGACGGCCCATTGTAAGGCTGTTAGCAACATTCAGATTGGCGCACAAGGTGAAAAGATTACGCCAGGCACAACAAACACACACATACACACACACACACACACACATGCGAGCTCGCGCTACAGATATGCTACATTCAGAACGGCGCTCAGTTCGGAAACGTAAGCAGAAAATATTCACATGGCGTAGAGCGCGCCAGAACACGGACGACAAAACATGAGATCAAAAGATCAAAAGCTGTCTCTTGTTTTCGCTTTAAACGGTTTCGCTCCAGTCAGGCTATCATTTAATAACCGCGCTCAAAACCCTGTTTATGACGGCAATGAAGGCACGAGCGCCCGTAATGCAGACCGCCACGTTCCAGGCCAATGCTTTCGGAAACTGCTGCAAAATGGCAGAAAATATCTGGCCCAATTTAACGTTCGTGTTTCCGTTGCACGCCAAAAAGAGTTACGTACCACATTCGAACACGAACGAATTTTCAACCATGGCTTTCAATAATGCTATTATAGGAATCGTGTTCGACTACAATATAGTTCTCCATATTCTGAGCACTGAAAACTTGCAAAATCGTGTCCTTGCTAACTACTGTCATGCATTCGCTGCACGCATGCCAACCGAAATAAAGTTAATACGATCAATTGATGGTGAAGTGGCTGACAATGAAGTCTTGTAAATAAAGCTACCAGGGGAGGTGGCAAATGCAGACGACATGAAAGGAAACCGTTAAAGGCGGGGACGCCAATTCGCCGCAGCCCAACCGCATACAAAGACGGCGTATAGCCTCGCACATTAACCACAAATACAACTTCCTGTACAAAACGAGGTTTGGAGACGGTTCAGGTATGTGCAAAAAAGAATAAGGAGTGAGAGAAAGAGAGA